AGCGAAAAATCTAACAATCTACGGCAAAACCATCAATTATTATGGGCGTTATAACATAGGTGTGCAGCTGGACGAAACATTGACGTCAAACCCCCGCAGACGATTTAAATACCTTGACGAAACATACACGTCAAACCACGCTGAACGGTTAAGGAATTTTTAGGTCACCAATTAACAGTGCGAAGGTAGAGTTTCATATTGTGGTTTAATTGATGTTGATTGTCACTAGTTGTCGCTAGCAGTCGCTAGTGTGTATGTCATTGCTTAGCAACGGCGAGTAAACAGCTGTTGGTAGGCAAACCGAGTAAACAGCAGCAGTTGCTAGGCAAAGCCTACAACAATACGGACAGTGACATGTTTTCTTATGTCCGACTCTTGGTTAGGAGTAGCTCCCCGTGTGGAGGCAGGGTCGAATACCTCCGCCGTGACCCTGCGAATCGTAGGAGGCGACAAAAAGGGAAGTCACAAATCTGAGACAGTAAAATATGGTCTAGAGTCCAAAGGGACTCAGACCCCGAGAAAGACTGCACTGGCAAAGGCCAGCAGCATATACAAAAGGCAGACTCGTCCTCTCGTCAGAGAGGGCGTCCCACAAAAACAAGACCGTAAATGCCAAACAGTAATAAATATCTGGTCATGAGCCCAGATGGGGCTCGACACCAAGACTAATTGACTGACCATCAGTCGCAATGTGACTTGGACTTGGAAGTTTACAGTTATAGTTCTAGATCGTCATTATAGACTGGGTAAAGGTGACAATGAATAGATGGTTGTTATAATAACTTTTTGTGGATATGCACTGGAATAAGTTCCAATCATGTACTAAGTTCATGTAATTTGTGTGAATGTTAAACTGTATTTGAAAATTTGATACATTTTAATGTCAGAGACCAAGTTTCACACACATACAGGGCGACAAACTAATTGTAGTTTGTATACTCTAACTTTTATTTTTAGATAGCAGACAAGAACAGAGAAGGCTCTAGACTGAATGGCAGCAAGCATTACATGAATTCAATCACCTCTCAAT